TCCTCCTCCTCTCGCCTCCTCCTCCTCCTCCTCCTCCTCCTCCTCCTCCTCCTCCTCCTCCTCCTCCTCCTCCTCCCTCCTCCTCCTCCTCCCCCTCCTCCTCCCCTCTCCTCCTCCCTCCTCATCCTCCTCCGCTTCCTCCTCTACTCTTCCTCCGGTCCTCGTCCTCCTCGTCCTCCTCCTCCTCCTTCCCCATATCCCCCCCCTACACTTATTACAGAGCGCCCACCCCCACTCCCTGGGGGCGCGGGCTGTTCGCTGGCATGCCTCGGCCGGCTGCCCGTCCCCCTCCCCGCGCCCCAGGCGAGCGCCCCCGGCGGCCTCGGCGGCCCTCCTGGGCGCGCGCCCCCCCGACACCCCCCAGCCGCCAGCATCTAGGCCTCCCAGAGGGGGGTCCGAGCAGACGTCTGGACGCCCGAAATGGGTACGGAAAGAATGGGTACAATGCCCAACAGCAGTTCCTGTTCATGTTCGACAGGATTCGCTGTCCACGCCGCCGCAGCCTGTGTCCATTCGAGACAGGAGGCCGCCCGCCCAACAGCGGCCGCTGTTAGTTTGGGGCAACATTTGCTGTTGGGCAGTGTACCCATCCTTTCCGTACCCATTTCGGGCGTCCAAAAGACGGGATCGCAGGATCACGCCGCATCGCCAATGCATCTTCGATGTGGTTCGATGCGGTGCCTGATGTTCTCAGCGCTGGCTGCGCCGAGGCACCGCCGAGGTCGCCGATGCATCGGCGATACATCTCTGATGCATCGGTGACGCATCGGCGATGTGGTGCGATCCTCCGACCCAGTCTACTCGGACCCCATCTGTGAGTCCTATACAGAAAGCCCGGCGCTTCGCAGTCGGGGCTGGGGGGTCGCACGCACGCGTTGGCCCTTTTGTCCAGACCCTCTCGCGTTGTGAAACAATCACGACGGGAGGTTTTTCGTTATGTTCGGCATCCAGGGGCCTTTCCCGGACCTCGGGACCATCAAAAACGGTTCGGGATAAAAAACCGGTCCCGAGGAAGGGTTCGAGACCGTGGGGGGTCGACGTTGTGAAAAAAACACGACGTCGGGGCCTGGGCTTGGCGAACGCATCGCGCCAGTTTTCAGTATACGTGATGAGCTCCGTGTCAACACGCTGCGTGTTGCGTGTTGTGTACCGGGACAGCGAAGACCCTGAGATTTTGGCGTCGCGGTGATGTTGCCTAGCTTCGAGCCCCCAGGATCTATCGGACCCGCCTGGCTTGAACAGTGTAGTAGAAGGATGGGCTCCAGGGCTAGTGGGCGATACGGATGGCTCGAGGTATATGGTCGAAGTCGGATCGGGGAGGGTACCCTATTGCTCTTCGTGTTTGTTGGATGTTCGTCCTGTTTGTGCTTTGGCCAGTGGAGGATCTCGTGTTCTTGAAAGATGCTCTTCTGTTCCAGGTCCGACTGCACATGGGAGGGATCAGGGGAGGGCGAGTTGAGGCAACGGGGTGCTCCACGTCGCCACAGCTGGACGCAGCTCGGGAAATTGGTGCGTCAGGACCCCATGATGGGTCCGGGGACCGATTGCTCAGCTCGTCCTGCTCCGAGACGAGGGTCGCAGGAAAGGGGCCCTGACGTGGCCCCCGGGCGCCCCGCAACTGCACGAGGGGCGTCCCTGCCTTACCCCCCTGACCGCTTGATTGCCCCCCATGAAGCACCACCCGAGATGGGGAGGAAGGGCACCAATGGCACGCCGTCATTGAGCGCCCGTCAGCGCGTGGCTCCTGCGCTTTTTGTTTGACGAATTGGTGTGTCTCTGTCAACAGGAACCCGTTCAAGGATAACCTCATGCCCGTGAGAATAAACACTAGGGGATAATAAAGTTCGGGGTTCAGGGAGAGATAATAAAAGTAGCCCAGCAGACCTCAGCATAATCTCGAAGTAAGAGATGATCAAGAGGAGACCAAGCCGAGCACGTTTTGAGACATCCTTGGCGTTTAGTTTTCATAGAAATATCCTCAACAATGGTTTATCTCGCTGGAATGGAGGAAGCTATATATAAAAAAGAAAAATAAAAAGAATAAATAATAACATAAAAGAAATGATAGGAGGAGGAGAAGGACGAAGAGAAGAAAAAATCTCGAGTTTCAAATCTATTAGATGTTATTTACAAACGCTTTATGAAAATTGTTTTTTTGTAAGTGCTCGTGTAGGGTAGCTCATGTGCCTCAATTTCCATGGATAATTCACCCCAGAGATAAAAAAAGTTCAGGCGAGCGTGGGGACAGAGAGAAATATAAAAGAAGAAGAATACAGTAGAAGAATAATAAGAAAGAAGAAGAAGAGGATAATAAGAAGAGGACGAAGAAAGGAAAAATCCAAAGTTCCAAATCTATCAATTTTAAGCTACAAACGCTGTATGAAAATTGATTGTTTTAAGTGCTCGTGTAGGGTAGCTCATGTGCTTCATTTTCCATGGATAATCAACCCCAGGGATAAAAAAGTTCAGGCGAGCGTGAGGACAGATAGAACTATAAAAGAAGAAGTGGAAAGTAGAATAATAATAAGAAGAGAAGAAGAAGAGAAGAAGAAGAAGAAGAGAAGAAGAACGGAAAAATGGAAAGTTCCAAATCTATCAATTTTAATTTACAAACGCTTTATGAAAATTGATTTTTGAAAGTGCTCGTGTAGGGTAGCTCATGTGCTCCCCTTTCCATGGGTAATCAACCCCAGAGATAAAGAAGTTCAGGCGCGCGCGGGGATAGCAACATCGCTTGATGTTGCTATCTCAACATAGCGTTTCGAGGTGATAATGAAGTTCGGCCTCAGCGCTCGCCGCCCACTTTGAATTTTGTATAGGGCGACGATAATCAACTCTAAACACTGAAGGGGGGGTCCCTTTATTATCATCGGCATGCGGTTATTCACGGTTCGGTCGGGTCGGGTGCGTCGCAGTCGGTTGCGTTCGGGCGGTTCGGTTCGGTCCGTTATCGTGGCGTTGCCGCGTCGTTGCGTCTTTCTGGGCTGCGTTCAGCCTGTCGGTTTCGTTCGGTTTCGATGCCCTTGTCGGTTCGATCGGTTTTCGTTTTCGCCGTCGCCGTGCGCGGCCCTGACGATGACGGAAACCCCCGCGGCGTGTGCCACTGACATTTTCCGTTGGGCCCCCCACTGACGCCGGAGAGGAGAGGGAGTGGGCAGAGCACGGCCGGCAGCGAATGGGGAGGCCAGGGACGGGGAGGGAGGCCGATGAAGGGTTGTTGCAGCTTTCGAGCGTCCAGGGACCCACTCTGGGCCCCAGGACCGTCAAGACACGGCCAGGGACGAGAAGCCGGTCCCCGGGAAGGGTGGAGACTTCTGGGGCAGTTGGGGTCCACTTCGCGGACAAAGCCGTTATGGGGAGGGAGGTCTTTTGTTGGGCGACATTTCCACCACAAGATGTCCCATGTTGTTGCCGTAGACGCGCTAACGGCGATGTAGGTAACGGCGATGTAGGTTTCGGCATTGTAGGTGGGAGTGCTTCGAGGCCAAACCAATTGTAGGACGTCGTGGTTCGTGCTTTCATTCAATTCGCTGCGTCGTTTTCGCTCGATACATTCGCACGTTTGAAATTTAGGAAATTGTGGTTTTTGATTTCCTACCATTTGCTCTGCGCGAGCTCGGCGTCACAAAAGTCGGATTTCCAACATCGACGTTAACCAACATCGCCGTTGGCGCGGCCTTGGTGCTGCCCGTCCGCGCCTTGCCCGCCCCTGGCCCAGAGGCTGCTGCACTTCAACGGCAACGCCAAGCAGCACCTGCCGCGCTGCGTGGAGTACTTCCGCGCCAACGGATTTGTCCACGACCGGAGGGCAGGGGCGCGGCCAGCTTGTGTTAAGTCGGGCACGTCCCTCCACAGGAGGGGTATTCAAAAATATGTACAAAAAAACATGTCGACTATGTTTAGCTATTTTTGAGCATCTCCCGACTATGCTTCAATCCTCTCCCAAAACCCGCCCGTAGGAGGACATGCCCGACCTGAAGCTTGTGGCCAAGTGGGGGCACAGAACAGAGCCCTGTCGCGCGCAGCTCGCTATGGCTGCCCTCCCCTCTGGCTTGGGGGGGGGGGGGCAGGGGGCGGACGCCAGGCGGAGGCGCACGCGGCCAAGCGTCGGAGGGGCTGGAGGCCCTGTCCAGCGCCTCCCGCCCGCCGAAAAACGTGCAGTCGACCGCGCTGGGGTCAGGACCTCCTCGGGCTCAGGAGGGGCCCTGGGTGTCGGGCGCTCCCCAGGCTCAGGTCGAGGAGCCTGGTCGTGGCCGAGGTTCGCCGCGGCCAGACATCGGCGTCACCGCGACATGCTTCTAGCACACGGGAGTCGCCCCCCCAGGGGCGACGCGCGCACGGAGAAATGTTACAGTATATGCGTGGTGGCGGGCGTTTTCTGGCCGCACCGCTCGGGAAACGAACAGGAAGGTGATACTATATCTTCGGGACGGACGCGCGCCTCCGAGGAGGACACATAGTACTAGTACGCCCTTGTGCGTCCCAAGATATGCTTACTGTACTCATGCCTCTCTCGCGTTCCTGGTGGCAGCACGATGGCTGCAAGCTCAAGCCGGGGGAAGGTCGGCGGCGAGCACGGAGGGGAGGTGAGAAGGGGCGGGCCTTCTCAGAAGGCTCGGCAGTCCCCGGGCCTTCTGAGAAGTCTTCTAAGCCGTCCCCGAAGACACAGACAACTTCTCAGAAGGCGCGAGGGCTTCTGAGAAATGCCGCCGCCTTCTGGGAAGGCGTTCCCCTTCTCATTCTCCCCCCTCGCTCGCCGCTGGGAAGTGGAGTTAGACCCCCAAGCTGGGGAAGAGCTCCCTTCTTTCCTGATGCCTTCAGGTCCTCTATCTGGCGCCTCCCGCGCTCGCCTGGTTCCCAGTATTCCTCCAGGGCGTGCCTGGCGATCGGTTCCTGAGATTTAGCTGCGAACTCGGTTCCAACGCTTTGGCAATCGACTCCCGGAGGCGAGCCGCTGGTGGCGCGCTTGCTGTGCAGCGCACAGAGAGCAGGACTCGTGCAGTGCGCTGCGAGGGCGGCGGGGTGCCTTCCACGCGGCCCGAGAAAGCCTCCTTCTGCAAGACCGATCGGGGTCGCACAATTGCAAGAGCCTCAACAACTCAAGCAGTGGCGAAGCGTCCTGGCTCGCCTATAGCCCTACCAAGCAATGTTCTAGGAACCTTTCGTGGTTTCCACGAAATGTTCTTAGAACATGTCTGGCTGGGACTGCTTTGTTTTAAGACATCGGGCTTATGTTATACGGACATTGTTTTTGTTATTGGAACATTTTTGGGTTCTAAGAACATTTCGTGGTAGGACTATAGGAATGCCGGGACGGTCGGTCCCTGCTCAAACAACAGGGCCCCAGGACGGGGGGGGGAGAGGGCCACCAGAGCCCAGGAGGACTCCAAGATGCGTCCAGGCGGGCAGAGGTCGGCGGCTTCTCAGGGCAGCGAGCAGGTTCCAGGCAGCCGCCTGGAAGAATTTGCGGGTATGGCAGCGGTGTGTCGCTGACCTGTTTCTGGTGTTTGGGGTCAGTTTTGAGAGGGGGGGTTCGACGGGCCCGGCAGTCAGCGTCCAGGACCCATGTTGGAAAACCGCTGCAAGTCGGCACGAACGAAATTGGTACGGAACCCATTTCGGGCGTCCAAAACCAGGAAACGCATGGCCAGGAGATCGTGAGCATGCGACAGGAGGTCTCTCCAGGACGACGCTTCCTTTGTCCCGCACGGCCCTCCGAGCCCGCTTGGCACCCCGAGCACCCCCCAGCATCCATTCGGACTCCCTCTTGAGCACGCCTGAACGCTGTGGCCCGCCCCCTGGCGGCATGAAGTGTGGCAAGCGGAGAACATAGGTGACGAACGTTGAGCTGTATCGTACATCCCGCGAGCCTGAACAAACAGAGCGCACTTGTGTAAGCTAGCATGGTCGTGGGGTGCGATCTTGTTTCTGTGCGCCACTGCTGTAGATTTGGGGGGCTCGACTAGGTTCTACGAGGCTCCGTGTGGAGTCTTATGGGGTCCCTTTGGGCCATTTGGGGGACGTCTCGGGTAGCTCCAGGGGGCCCTCTTGGAAGCCAGAACGCTCTCGGACCTCTCAGCCAATTTTCTCAGCCCTCGAGCCATTTGGGATCTGTTGGAGCCTGGGTCTGTCTTAGAGCAGCGCGGGGCCCTGTTGTGGCACTCCATGGCTGCATCCTGGAGCAACGCGAGGTCGGCTTGGGCATTGTTGGACGCCGGAAGCATGGACAGTCTAGCAGATTTGTTTGCTTCAACTGTTTCGTTGTATCGGTTTACGCCACACCCGCCGACCCTTTCTAGTGAATTAGTCGGAAATCCTACAAGGGGCCATCCTGGCCGCTTTCGAGCTCATCATGGCGGTCTAAAAGTGTTGTGCTGAGTTCTGTTGGAATCCAGTTTCGTGTTTCTGGGGCCCCACTGGGGTTTCCATGGGGAAATATACGGGCCTTGTGAACGGAGCTGTGGCAAACCCGAAGTACGCGAACCTCATATTGGGCCTCCTGGGGGGCCTCACGGGGTTCCGAGTGTATCAATGTGGGCGCATATGGGGGTCCGGGGGGGTTCCTACTGCGTCGCCGCCGTCGTTTCGGAGGCAACGCGGGGCCTTGTTCGATAGCGTTTTGCGCCATGGTGGCCGAAGAAGGCGATCTTGCACGTCTGAATGACCATTCCGTCTGGCTGGAGGGATGTGCCGGTAATGCATCGGGGATATGTTGGAAGGGGCTTCAACGGCTCAAAATGAAGCACGGCAAGAGTGGGTGGCGGATCCATTGGTGTCGGGCCTACCCCTCCACACTTCCAGAATAATGACGACATGGCGCCGTGCACGATTTTCTTTCCGCGAACGTTGTGGTTGATAGACAGGGGGTTAGGATTGCGCCTAAGAGACATGCCGCGAGCAGGCAGAAGGCTATTTGCGCAGGCCCACGAACGAGGACAACTTTAGCGGCATCTCGCCTGCGATGTTGAGCGGAGCGGCGGGGTTGAGTCTAAACAGCGATCCACAGATCCCGCGCAGCATTCCAGTCACGGAAGACATGCGCGACAGCTGCGCACGCGAAGAGCGTTGTTAGCAAACGGATCAGCCCGTGGACATGGCGCCAGCAGCGAAGCAGGCGCAGAATGCAGCGGCGGGGCACGCGACAGACTACCAGTGCAAGCGGCGCCCCCTTCCATTTAGCGAGGTGGGAGAGACCGAGAAAGGGCGCCACTCGCTGGCGGCGCAGTCGAAGGACAGGACCGCGACGTTTCCAGATGACAAGCACATGGAAGGGCTCCCCAGCGGCATTCACGGGAGAGGCGCGGCGCGGTCAGCGCAAGACGGCGGATTTTTTTCGCGCGCAAAGGGGCTCCAGACACGCGACTTCGGCGGAGAGTACTAAAAGGACACGATGCACTGACTGTACAGAGGGAGCGCGCATGGCGGAGCCTCTGCGCGCGGGCGGGGGACGCGCGCCCGTCCCAGCACCAGGAGCGCCGCGGGAGCGAACGCGCGGGAAGGGGTCGGAGCCTGCACGGCCAGCGCCCTGCGGACGAGTTGTGGGAGCACCCGGTCGCGATGCTGTCGCCGTTCGTGGTCTTTGCGACACTGGCCGCATCGAACTGGACAGGGGGCGCGCGCTCCGGGGCCCTGCTCGGGGCGGGGGCGGGCGCCGCGGCGCAGGAGGGAGGGCGCGGCCCGCGGCCCAGGCGCCACGGGCAGGTGCCGGGGCGCGCGCGGGCCCGGGGCGCGGAGCGGGCGCCCGGGGAATCCACGCCCCCGCGGGCCGCCGCAGCCGAAGCGCGGGGCAAAAAATACAACAACAACAAAAAACACATACACACACACACACACACACACACACACACACATGGTGGGAGAAAACACACACACACACACACACAGTGTGTGTGTTTTTTCCCCACGTGTGTGGTTTTTTTTTTCTCAGCGAGAGGAGGGGAGGAATGGGCTCCTGCCGGTGGCATGCGTTCGGACGGTTGCGCAGCGAGGCGACCTCGACGGCGGGGCGCGACGCCCGCGCGAGAGCGGCGGGGCGCGGGCGGCGGCGCCCATGGATTGGCCGGGGCACGGCGCGCCGCGCGGAGGGGCGAAGAGGCGCATTCGGCACTGCGCGGGCGCAGGAGACCTGCGGCCCGCCAGGGACCGGGGCCTCGCCAAGCACAGCGGCGAAGAGCTGGGCCCGCTGATTTCCGGCGCGGCCACGAGGCGGAAGACTCACGCCAGCGGCGCGCCCGCGGAGGAAGGAGACAGGCGAACGAGCGCTGCGATGGCGTCTGAGAAGGGAGGGGGTCGGAACGCGAAGGCCGGGCGACGCCGCGCGGGGGGAGGCGCGAGCCGGAAGGGCGGGAGGCGAAACGCGCGAGGGCGGCGGGCGGTGGAGGCGCGGCGGCGCAGCAGCGAAGGTCGCGCAAGCAGCGCCCGCGGCGTCGAGGGCACCAGGAGAAGAAGCGGGGCGGCCCGCGGAGGCTGAGAAGAAGGCGAGTGAAGAAGGCGAGCACGGATGAGTGCGATCAATCCATCGTGTGGTGCGGCCCCGTGCCAGTGGTAGCGCGGACAGAAATAATGCAATCTGTTTGCCTGCTCTGGTGGAGTGTGTTCGTTAGGGCCCCTTGGCAGGGTCGGCGGATTGCTCGTGTTCTGGCGTGCTCTTTTCCAGGCAGCGCTGTGAGTTCAATCAGCGAGAGTTCCAGTTGTCACAAGAAGTGTTGCAGTGCTTCGCAGGAAAATATGAGGAAGTGGAGGGGGCGACGAAGAATGAGGGAAGAGGGGGGGGCGAAGAAAAGGCAGGGGAGGGCCCAGGAGGGGGAGGGGCAGCTGCGAAAGAGCAGGGGGTCTATCGAGCTGCCTGCGGCGCGTCGGGCCGCCGTGCTTCGGGGTTTGGGGGCAGAGGCCCTTGAGTGTTTCTGGGCGGAGGTTGTTTGGGGCTGGGGGATTGTTGCTGCCTCTGTTGGGACTCTTGGTGCGCTCTTGGGGCCTACCCGCGGTTTCTTGGGAACTTGCTGGCGGTCCCGAGGGGCCATCCCGAGCGGAAAACCCGACACGTCATGTCAGGTTGCCCCTCGGAGGCCCGTCTGAAGCCCTCTTGGGGCCGCCCTGTGCGCCTCTTGGGCTGTTTTGGGGGCCCGCGTGGGCCGTCGTGGGTTTTTTGCGCGCCCATTGGGTCTTGCTGGGGCGATGCTTGGGGCCTCCTTGTGGCGTTTTGGATGTTGTAAAAGCGTGGATGCCAGAAACGCACGTGTTCCTAAGGAAGTGTGACGAGCCTTTTTTTTGTTCGAGCTCTCGTGGAGTTGTCTCCGGGCGTCTTCGAAGCATCGCGGGCTGTCGCGGGCGTCTTGAAGCGATCTTTCTGCAACCCTGCTTGAGGCTCTCTTGGCCCATCTTGGGGCTTCAAAGCTTAAGGGAAGCGGGATCCCCCGCTTCGGAGTTTACCTGGGGGTCACATTTCCAGCTTGGGGTCCCAGGAGGGAGGTTCTTGGAGGGACAAATGTCACACGAGACCAACAAGGGGGGCGGCGGATGTTGGCCTTCTGGGGGAACGGCTCGAGGGGGACAGAGAGTCTCCTACACCTGGTGGTCCCAAAGGTTGGCGAAATCCATTTTCCGAGCAGCCGTCCGCCTATTGCGGCGATGCGTCTCTGTGCGGCTTGGGGGCGCGTTAGCGACAGATGGCAGGCAAGTGCAATTCAGTAAGCTGTAGCGTGCGAGGGCAGATCACTGAATTGTTCGGCAGAGTCAGCCACGCTTCGTGTTTTTAGGAACGAACAGAGCCACACATGAATGGAACACATCGTCGAAGTCGGACAGTCTGCCCTCAACGGGACGATCCGCCCCGAGTTAACAGATCGTATGATTGACGGCCTTCTTCGTAGTGTTTCCCACGTTGTGATACGCCACTCGGTCTCCCAACGCCGCGGGTTCGTTTGGCATGCGCACATTCATCAGTCCGCTCCCCTCTTCCTGCGATGCCTGCGTTCTCCGACTTCGTGCTCTCAGTGGTCCTACGGCTCCCCCTGCGGCGCCTGCCTGATTGCGGAGCTCGTTGCGACCCCCCCGGCAGCGCGGGGGTGGCTCAGCATTGGGGGGCAAGTGCAGCATCCGCGCCTCGGGACGAGAGGTGCACCTACTTCGACGGCGACAGGAACGAGTACGCCGGCGTCCGCCTGAGCAGCTGAGCGCGCGGCCACGCTGCGCCGACCGCTGCTCCCAGTCCTCGGCGAGGCCGCCGAGCCCGGAGGCAGAAGCAGAAGGCGCCCGCTCTTTCCCCGGGGCTGCCCGCTGGCACTTTAGGATTAAGTCGGGCCTTTCCCTCTACAGGGGGAATGTTCGAAAATCGTTTCGAAAAATAGTCTGGGGACGATGGTTCGACTGGTTCTACCTATTGTTGATGTTTTGTTGCTATCTTTGACTTTACGCCATAAATCGGCCTGTAGGAGGACATGCCCGACCTAAGTCTAGGAGCGATCGCCGCCGCCGCCGCGAACCACCGCAAAACCGCCACTTCAGCAAGCGAGACATCGGCCTCTGCCAGCAGCGCAGAACTGCCCTGTATCGTGCTCACAGGGCGCATCTCGACTCCGCCGATTCGATCCGATTCGATTCCGATGGATTCCGATTCCGATTCGATTCGACCCGGGGTTCCGATGTGGGCTCCGACTTCTCACGGGACGCATACCATCCTGCCGATGTCCGCCGACGCGATGGTTTCCCACTGGGCTGCCGATTTGCGCCGATCCGATTCATGCCGATCGCCGATCCGTTCTATCGATTCGATGTTGGGCTCTCCTGTGTTCGAGCCAGCCACGTCCATACGCTGCGTGCTGGCTCGGCACGCGTTGGCTCGCGCTCTAGCGAGCGTATCGCGCGAGACCTACGTGTTCAATCTGCGTGTCGAGCTCCGGGTCAACACGCTGCGGGTTGCGCGTTGCGCATCGAGGCGGCGCAGCCGCCATGACTACCTACAGTAGGCACCTCAAGCAAGGCATCGGCCCGGCAGCAGGTGCCCCACGGGAGTTGCTTCTCCCGCCGATGACGCCAAGGCCCCGCAGGAGCTCCGCGGCACCTCAGGTCCGACACAGATCGATGGAGAGTGTGTCCCGAGATGTCTTATAGCAGGATTCCTCAGCGTAACTGTCTAATGGAGGATGTCTCATGGAGGATGACTATTTATTTAAAAAATGTTTCTCCCTTTTTTATTAATCGTCATCCCGCATTACTGTACGGCCGCGGCGCCAGCGATGACGGCCACGACTACGGTAGGGTTCGTGCCGCGCCGGTGCGGCAGCGACCCCAGCGCGAGCGTTCAAGGTCGAGCGCCGCCGGTGGCCCAGAATCGGCGAATGTGGAAAGATGCTGCGATCGACAACTTGCCGATCGTTCCATTTTTAACGATCCACGCGCAGGCCAAATGTCGACGAGGCAAGCTCTTGAGGGGAGAGAGCCCGTACACCAGTCAAAGACTGTGCGACGGGGAGGCCGTCCCTCTCCCACTTGCCGAGCAGCGGGCTGTGCTGGCAGCCCTGCAGGCTCGCTAGCACTGGACTACTGACCTCGGTGAGCTGCGGTGCGCCATCGGGGAGATCGCGAACAAACAAACAAACATGTCAGAAACCAACGCCAGGGTCGTCACGACACGAACTGGCTGTGCCACGACAACTTGGCAACGGTCCGCTTCCCGGCCTGGCCGTCACGCTTTCGGGCGTCAGGAGGGCCGGCAGTCCGAGGTTCGTCTGTTGGTTGTGATCGGTGCGGAGCTCGTTACCTTGAGCCACGCGCACGGTTCAGGCGATTGCTTTGGACGTTCTGATGCGTGAATTCGGCATCACCCGAGCGTGCTTGTGCTATGTTTAAGTCGGGCATGTCCCTCTAAAGGAGGAACGTCCAAACACTGTCAAGAAATAGTTGTGGGACGATGTCTTGCTATGTTTGACCATTTGGGGGTACTGTTGTTGACTATGTCTTCTTTCTCGTCGAACATCCCCCTGTAGGAGGACACGCCCGACCCAGTGCCATGTGTACTATCACCCGCCTGCCCACGCCGGCGCTGCGCCCAGACGCGCGAGCGGCAGCTGGAGGCCCTCGCGGCCATGCAGCGCGTGCTCGCCACGGTGGAGCTGGAGGCCCCCACGGCCCGCCACGGGCATGGCCCGGAAGGCCCGCGCGGGCGGCGGCGCTGGACGCAGGCGGGGCACGGCCGCCGCCGTGCGCGCCGCGCGGCGGACGACGCAGCGGCAGTCGCGGCAGCGTTCGCCGGCAGCGCGTGGCTGGTGCACGTCGCCTCTCCGAGGAGAGGCCCCGCCCGGGTGGCCCTGCACGGCCGCTGCGGGCGCTGGGGGCCGCCCACAGCGGGAACGCCTCGCGCGCCGCTTTCGTGCAGCGGCCTGGGGGCCGCCCCTGCCCCCGCGGGCGGCGGGCCTGCGGCCCCTGGGCGCCCCGCGCGCCGTGGGCCGCGAGGCGGCCATGGCGGGCGGCGGTGCGGCGGCGCCTGCTGGAACGCCTGGGCGCGCTCGACGAGGCAAGCGAATATGTGTGTTTCGCGGCAGCTGCCCTGGGCAGCCGCTATGCCGCGTGCTCGCCGGGCGCGCCGTTTCGTCTCCCTTGGTCCTCCTTCGGGCTGTGCTCCTGGCCCACCCAGGGCTGGGGAGCGTGTGCTCCTCGGTATGCCGTGCCAGCTGTTCCGACTAGGACGCCTTTGGCTCCCAACGCACCATGTCGGAACCGCTGGGCCGCGAGTCTTCACAGGCGATGTGGTCACACCCTTTATGCCCTTCCTGCGCAGCTGTTGCTGCTTTCCGCCCGGTAGTTCGTTGGCTGGGCGTGTGTAATACACGGGCGGCCTTCGGGAGACCGACCCTGGGCGCCGGACCCCTCTCCTCCTCCTCCTCCTTCCTCCTCCTCCTCCTCCTCCTCCTCCTCCTCCTCCTCCTCCTCCTCCTCCTCCTCCTCTTCCTCCTCCTCCTCCTCCTCCTCCTCCTCTGCCGGCTCCTCCGCGCTCGGTTTGGTACCCGTTCTCGCCGTTGGGCCCCGTCTGGATCGTTTTTGCATGCAAAAAAGTGCGCTCGCCCCCCAGGGGCGACGCATGCGCTCCGAAGTCTTGTTGTGCATGCTCGGTGGCGGGCGTTTCCTGGCCTTGCCACCTGAGTGCCGGTACGCTGTCGGGCGTTTGTGCTGCATGTTCGGTTCGGGCGTGCGCCTCCGAGGGAAGCGTACAGTGCAGTCAGCCCGCGTAGTAAGGATGGGCAACCTTCCCAAGGGTACCCTTGCATCCTTGCCTCCTCGGTCCATCCTTCGCCGCTTTCGCTGGCCGCGCCCCGTTCGAGAATCTTCGGAATGAGTTTCCGAGGCCCTTGCATCCTCATCGCGCATCCTTGCTATACAGGTTGACTGTACCTGCCAGGGCGCGTGCTTGGGCAGCCCGGGGCTACCTGCCAGGGCGCTCCCCTGGGCAGCCCATGGGGCGCCGACAGGGGGTGGGGGGACTGGACCGGGGGGGGGGGAAGGAAGCCTGAACCCCCCATCGCCCATTCCTCACCGATCGGGGCCTGGCTGCGGCAGCCTGCCCAGGAAGGTGCGGGGCTTTCTATAGGGGCAGATCGCCAGACAATGCCTCTCCCTGAGCCAGTTCCCCCCCACTTCGGCCCCCCGCAGTGAAGCCAAACACGGGGAGTTGTCACGTGATGAGCGTCGGCGCATGTACAAAGCCATCGCCAGCTGTCAAAGGCGGATTTAGTTTCCCCCATTTTCGCCTCGCCTCGCCATTGGGATGCTGCAGGCAAGCAACAGGAGGAGGAATGATCATCGCCGATCTATCCGCAATGTATCGCCGATTCCAGGTGAGTATTTCAGGCCCCCCGTCCCCATCGTTCCCCCTCAGGGACGGTTGGTCTGCAGTTGGAATGAAAGTTGTCAGCATCATGGCAACCACGGCGTTCGTGGTGGGAGCTTGCGGGCAATTTGTTGAATCAACACGTGGATTGGTCAATCTGAACAGGGGCGTAGACCTTAAAATGAATGAGTGGCGGGTTAAATTGGGAAAACTGTGGAGCACTTCGCCGTATGCCTGCATCTCGGGACGTCTGCGATACCCTGGTATGGATTGCAGCCGGGCGGTATTCCTCAAGAGTTTTTTGCGAGAGCGCGCCATCCATGCACCTAAGAATTGCCCGAACATCTTAACCAGGACAAATTGACATTCATATGGAGGCGAGGGGAACAGTTGTTTGGTTTGTACCGTCGTCGTACGCCACAGCATGTGACAAGAACTAATAGCAGTAAGACGCGCCCGAGGCGCCAGCATTGTAAGTCATGATGCGGTACTCTGAGAGGTTCGTGGACATGATGCTTGGCACCCGCATCCATCATAGGACCTGAAGAGCCTCATAAAGAATACTGTACCTGCGGAACTATACTATAATGTGTCTATATGTATAGTGCAGAGAGAGGTAGAGAGAGAGAGAGAGAGAGAACTGAACAAGGAGGGAGAGAAAGAGAGAGGGAGTGGTAGAGAATAGGAAATGACGAGTGAGAGAGAGAGAGGGAGAGAGAGGGAGGGAGAGTGAGTGAGGACGGGTGGACGAAAGAGTCATCGGACGATGACAGAGGGGGTTCTATTCTAGCCTCGGACTGTCTGATCGGTGCCCCGCTCGTTTGATCTAGCGGCTCCTTGCACACGGGTCCCCGTTCCCCGGAGGGGAGGGAAGGGGTGAACCTCGACCTCCAGCGTGATGATACAAAACACGTGAATCGGGGCTTGTTGGTCGTGCTGGTGGGCAGCTCGAGCCAGCCCAGGCCCGTTTTCCGCCACCTCAGCGGCAGGGGGCCGCGCGAGGCCGCAGCGTGGCTGCCCTGGGCCACCGCGGACACTCCAGGTGAGTGCCCGCACCCCTCCTCCGGGCACAGACCCCCGAGCGAGAAGGCCATTGGGGGGGGGACCAGGAGGGGAAAGCCCCGTTTGTCCCGGAGGAGTCGGCACGCCAAGCCACCGGCGTGCAGAGGAGGGGTGGGATTCCAGGCCTGCTGTGCCAGCGGATCTCCCACAGCATCCTCGGCCGAGCTCTTCCGCAGCTGCCCCCCTCCAGCTTTTGCAGCTCCCATGGGCACTGTCAGGAGGGAAAGAAACACACAGACACAGTTCACCGCCGATGCCCAGGAAAATAGAGGAAAATGTTGACAATGG